TTAATTTTGGATCACAATAATCGTATTTTTCTATATTTTGTGAGCTACAAAAATAATAATTAAAATATAATAAAAATATTATTGATAAAACCAACCAATTCATTATAAAATCAAATTCCCAATCGAATATTTATTAAAAAAAAAAAAAAAATGAAATGTGTAAATTATTATTATTTTAAAAAATTATTCAAAAATCATGGATTTCAAAAAAAAAAAAAAAAAAAAAAAAAATTATGTTTAATTAAATAATATGTTGTGTTTTATTATTAAATAAATAATTTTTGTTTATTATTCATATTTTCTTCAATTTTTTTTTTGGTTTTGAATTATTCTAGAATATTTTTTCAACTCAAAACTTTTTTTGATGGTTTAATAACACAATAAAATTTGAACAGTAAATTTTTAGAAAAATTTTAATTATTAATTTGGTAACTGTTAATATATCTGAATTAAAGTTTTATAAAATAATTATTATAATAATTAAAATAATAATTAAAATAATTATTTGATTGATTTTGTTAATTACTTAAATGAGTAATGAAGGTGGCATTTTTCATTGACTTCTAACAAAACTGAATGTTAATTATTTGTATCTATTAAAATAATAATTTTTCTTGTTTTGATTGTTTTATATTAACTTATACTATTAATTTATACTATTAACTTATACTATTAGTTTGAAATACCTAAAACATGATTTAAATGCAATTAAAAAGCCCTGTCATTAGGTTATAGTGATTTTGCCTTTATTTTTTTCAAAAACATAAAACTTAATATGTCATTTATGATACAATATGTTTTATTTAATTAATTACAGGTTAATTATTTTAATTAACTTGATAGTCAAAAGTGTTTTGATATTTTTACTCTTTAAGTGTGAATGATCAAAGTAATTTAAGACCAACTTAACTTAGGCAGTTATGAATGGTTTAACAAAAAAGAAAAAATTTTAATAAAAACCAAATTTTTCTTTTCGGGGGGAGGGGGAGGGGAAGGAAAGTTATCTTATTAATTCATACTGCTTACAAATTGAAATAAAAAAACTATTTATGATTTAATAATTTATGATTTAAGAATTACAAATTGTACTGGGTTTTGAATAGTATTACTACACATAAACGATGAAATTGAAGTCGTTAAAAATTAACATTACAGTTTTTTGGCGTCTGTTTATAAATTATCAAAATATTTTCAGTTTTTTAAAAAATTAATAATATATAATAAATAATTACCGTTCGGAAGAAATATTTTAATGAAATTTAAATTTGATGTTACCGGATAAAAAAATTTTACAGAAGGAAACAAATTACGCGGGAAGAAATTTGTCGTCTGCATACTGTCGACATATTTCTTTTATAATAGTTCAAGTTAATTCCACGTTTTTTTCTTTTTATTTTATTTTTTTTGTGATAAACAAATATGTCAGTGTTTTGTCGATATTTTTTTTTTTTTTTTTTTTTTTTTTCTTCCCCAAAAAGGAAAAAAAATAAATATTCCCTTCAAAAATTTCGAAAAATATTAACATTTAAATTTTGAATTTTCTTTTTGATTAAAATTTTTTTTTATTAAAAAAATTATTGTTTTTTAAAAAAAAGTATTGTTATTAATTAAATATATTTATCTTATCATTTTAATTCAATTTACATAAATATATGTATATAAATAAATACATACATATATATATATATACAAATACATAAAAATTTTATTTTATACTTTTTATTTATTTTGACGTTAATTTTTCTATCGGAGTTATTTTAATTTATCTCTAATTTGCAATTTAATAATATTATAATCAAAGTAATAATTCTTTATTAAATATTTAATAATTAAGGATTTTTATAATTTTATTTAAGGAAATAAAATTTTTTTTTTTTTTTTAATTTTCAATTTCACTATTAATTTGAATATTAATTTTTTTAAATTTAAAAACTTTAAATAGTTCTCTTTTAATTATTATTATTATTTTTTTTTTGTGAAATAATGTTACAAAATAATTATTTTCAAAATTATGCATTTATTAATTTATTTCATTACAAATGAAATTTATTGTTTTAGCAGTTTACTAGATACTAATTTACAATGTTATTTCTGCAGTTTTTATTTATTATAAAATACAATCATTACAATTAATTTTTTTTTTCTCAAAAATGCCATTTGTTATCTAGACGAATTGAAAAATTATTACTTACAAAAATATTTAAATTAAAAAATTAGTAATCGTTTTTTTTTTTAACGTACTCGACAAATGTTTTATTATTTTAAAAAACTTTCAACTCTGTTTAACACAAATATCGAATGAGAAAAAAAAAAAAAAAAAACAAAATGATTTTATGCTATGTGATACATTACATTGCAATCAGTATTATCATGTTGCAATTTTGTGAGTGTTTATCGACAAATAATAAATGAAAAATAATATAAAACAAAGTGGAGGCAGTACATTTAAATACTACATATCGATTTTGAGAATAATTTAATATTACAATTAATTAATTTTATAAAAAATTTTTTTTTTTTCGATTTATCGAACAAAGGAAAAAAATTTTTTTTTTTTTTTTCTTATCAATGAGTAAAATTTTAAATAATCAAATGAAAATTTTCATGGCAATAAAAGAGCCAAAATTGATTAATTTCACTGTATTTTTTTTTTTTTTTTTTGTTACAAAATTTTTAAAAAAATTTTTTTTTGTTGTAATGTTAATTTTATTATTATTATTATTTTCAGGTAAATAATCAGGTGTTTTGAAACCAATAACTGTGAATACATTACCTGAATGGATTTCTTAATGTGAATTTTATGTGATATTAATTATGGAAAATAGTTGGAGTACATTTTTTTAGAGAAAAAAAAAAAAAATTTTTTTTTTCCACAATTAAAAGGTAAAGTATTATTATTTTTAAAAATTAAAATTTTTTTTTTTTTTATAATCAAAAATTGTGTTGCAGGTAAACTTGTTTGGTCACTCTTGATTGTTTGGCAAACAGGTTGACTCAATACTGTACAAATTTTATCTTGATTTAATACATGTCTTATTTCATGGTTTGATTTCAAAATAAAAATTATTTGATTATTTTTTTTTTTTTTTTTGGGGGTAAAATAATAATTAAAAAATATGGTAAATATGAGTTGGTGTGTCATTATTATTATTATTATTATTTATTTATAAAACTATAATATGTAATATTTTGGTTGCTACTTTTGTAATATTCACTTTTTCTCGTTTTGATTCGACTAATTTTTAAAAATTTTATATAATCATGTAATATTGTTCTAATTTGCAGGTTGTTTCGTGTTGAAACTTCAAATTGACACATTTTTAGCAGCACAGTAATTACAGTATTAACAATGATGTTACATTCCAATGTTAAAAATTCCAAAATAGGATCTTGAATGATGAGGATATGGGCTCGAATGTTTCTCGTCACTCGGGAAAAGGTTTATCGGGACGTAGAGCCCAATCAAGTGGTAGTCTGTATAGAATGTTAGCACCAAGAGTAGGAAGAGTTTTCAATCCTTGCGGAGAAAGCGTTAAACATAAAGATAGAAATAAATTTTGCGGTTCATTGCCAAATCATCTGGATGAAAAACGATTTTCCAGCGAAAGTAGTAGTTCGGAGAGCCTATATCGAATAAACGTTAATTATGGCAACATATACGAATTTGCCAAAGTGCCAAATTCTGGTTTTCCACCTCCTCCTCCTCCTCCTCCTCCTGTTCAACAAGATTTAATAGGGGGAGATCAAGGATACGGTTCAGAATGGTCTCCGGATGAAGATTTATCTGCACATGCCAATTCTGCCAATTCTTCTTCTTCTTCTCGAGATAAAGTTATTACGAATAATCATGAAATACCTTTTATTACCAAAGGTAAAATTTTCCTTTTTTATTATTTCATCCATTGAAAATCTCCAATTAAAATTTGTTTGTATAAATTATGTTAATTTTTACGAGTTACTAATTATTGAATAATTCATGATTTAACACCTGCATATTTACTTATTTCAATTTTAGAAAATACATTTGAAACTGAAATAATAAAAGGATCCAGAGGGTTGGGACTTAGCGTAACCGGTGGTGTTGGCACAACTGATTATCATCCCGGTCTCATTAGAATCAAACGTATTTTTCCTCATCAACCGGCATCAGAATGTGGGGTTTTAGAATTGGGAGACGTAATTTTAGAAGCTAATGGGGCTCCTTTAACCGGTCTTACCAATCATGTAATTTTACATTTCATGATGTGAATTGTATTTTTTTCGTCTTGAAATGATGATAAAAAAAAATTTTTCTTTTCTTTTCTTTTGCAGGAAGCTTTAGAAGTTCTCAGAACGACTTCAAACAATGTGATACTTAAAATTTGCCGTCCTCCACGTAACACTTTCAATTTTCCAGAAAGAGTTACTTGTGATCCTCCACCCATTCCAAAAAGAGATTCCAATAGAAATATTTGTAATTCTAGTCAAAGCAGTAACTTTTCCAAACAGTTACCATCGCCCGAAGAGGATTTCGGAGTGAGTTTTCCCAATTACGCCATCACAAGAGACAATTGTATCATTTAACCGTAATAATAAAAATCAAATTTATTTTTTACTTGTAGGAATTTAATGTGACTCTTCAGAAAGTCAACGGAAGTTTGGGATTCACGTTAAAGAAAGAAGACGAAAGTATTTTGGGACATTATGTTAGAGCATTGGTTCGAGAACCAGCCATTTCCGATGGAAGAATTCGTCCCGGTGATAAAATAGTATCGGTAAGAAGAATTTTTCTTGTTTTTTTTTTTTTTTTTTTTTTTGTTCCGTTAAATTGAAAAAAAAATTCAATTACAGGTAAACGGAAATGACATTTCATCAATGAGTCACGAAGAAGCCGTTGCTTTTCTTCGACAATGTGAAAACGAAGTTCAACTTCAACTTTACAGAGATCCAGCTCAGACTCCGATAACCGCTTTATCTCCGACAGAATCTCACAGATCATTCCGTCCAAAACCCGTCCTTAGACAAGAAGCCGTTGATATGTTGTGCACCCTCGCAGTGAAAAAACTAAGTCCCGGAGATTCTGATATTTTAAATAGTAAAAGTCGGTTTTTGAGCAGTTCTCCATCACCTAGAAGGAAAAAATTAACAAAAATGTCTCGCGAATCGGAATTGATTAATTTAAATTTAGAAAAAATCGATCAGATTATTCAGGCAGGCGGTGGTGGTGGTGATGATGATGATGATATACTAATTACAACGGAAACGTCATCGAATCCAAATGTAAAATTATCACTTGGAGAATGTGAGGAACCTGTCAGTTTACCACCGATTTCCACAACGGAAACAGAATTCAATCTTCACGGAAATCCGATTTATCAATCTGTTCATAACGTCGTACAATCGGATGGAGAAAGGAAAAGGGAAAAATCAAACAATATCGAAAAAGAAATGAAAGACAAAGGTTTATGTCAAAGAAAAGGAAGTCAAAGTTTATTGAAGTGGAAAGGTATAGTTTTCCCTTCGACCGGAAATATATCGGATCAAGAAAAAGATTCAAAAAATAAAGACGAAGAGGTATCATATAATGTTTTTTTTTTTATATTTTATTATTATTATTTTCTTTTAAAACGTATTTCAAACGTTTTTACAGATATTAACAGTTGAATTATACAGAGGTTGGAACAGCAGGTTGGGTTTCACATTAAAAAATTTCGATTCTAAAACATTTATCGGTGAAATTTATCCGGATAGCGTTGCAGCCAAAGATGGCCGACTTCGGTCGGGTGATGAAATTTTAATGGTGAATTTTTTTTTTTTTTTTTTTTTTTTTTTCTTTTACTTTTAAAAATAATAATAATCGAACAAATGTTTGTTTGTTTGTTTGTTTGTTTGTTTTTTTAAATTAATGATGAATCCATAAAAGGAATGACGACGCCGGAAGTTATAGATCTTTTACGTGGAATACGTGGAACAATTGCAATAACAATAAATCGGAATAAAAATTTTGACGTCAATCTATAAATTTTTTTACGTCATACTTTAAATATGACGTAATGGAAAAGAAAAAAAAAAACTGATAATATGTACATATATATATATTAATTAATTAATTAATTATTCCCTAGTCTTAATTTAAAACGGCTTTTATTATTATTATTATAGATAAAGAAAAAAGGGGGGAGGGGGTTAATTTATGTACGAAAATTTTTGTTTGTACTTGTCGGAAGCTTTTATTGCATTTATTTCCGGTTCCTTTTGGACTATTTCTCTCTCTCTCTCTTTTTTTTTAATTTTGAATCGTTTCAATATTGCACTGTATCGTTTCCGATCATTTT